AGAAGAATATTTCCGCTTTTACTCGAAGAGCTGAAAAATTCGGAGTTTCATAAAATTTTAGATAAAGATWAAACTGAAATCTGACGTTATGCTATATTTGCAGTGTGTATTCGTGGAGAGCGTTATCTATTGGATTTCATTTCAAAGTCTATCTTCGAAATTTCTATAATTACTAAATACTGGTTTGTCAATCTGGCCATCTATTATATTTTATAATTGAAGCTTAATGTATTTAAACTGATCTAAAAGTAAACTACTAAAATACAAGAAAGAGGAACTCGAAATATATAGAGAGATTAGATAAGAGTAAAGTAGAATAGTATTTATGTAATCTAGATAATTTTGCTACCAGTTCCTTACTTCTTTAACCAACTTTTCGAATGTATAAGACCATACAAACTGTTCTAGCGGGATAAAGTTGCCTCAACATCATAAAAGCTGTCAAATTATAAATAAACTTAAGTTAATCACCGGCTTAGATTTTGGCGACCCCGCCTTCAGCTTCTTTCCACAATCACACTTTACCTGCTTTTAAGCTCATACTACTCAATGGATTGTATGAAAGTGATGTACGACATGGCGGCCTTCAAAATCTGCAGATAAAATATTTATTATCCACTAACTTGCCACACAATTAAGTACGAAGACACATCACGTTTGTGGAACACTTACACTCATGAAATTGGCCAGCGAAGCCTCGTAGAARCCGGCGCTAATAATGATCTCACGCTGTGAACGTAGCATCATCAGGCGCAGAACGTGGCGATGACGAGGCGGTAAATTATACCATTGCGACATCTGAATAGCCGTGCTCACGGCGGAGCTCTGCCTCGCCATAAATTCCCGAATTTAATAAAAGCCGAAAAAGAAATTGCCAAAAAAGAGCACAAACAAACATATAAACGTACTATAGCAACAACAAAAATTGTACCTCAGTTTTGAGAAACTCGGCGCCGTAACAGTAAATCAGCAATTGCAGCAGAATTGAGCTGAGAAACGTACAATAGACCACCATCTCCATGATTACGCCCATATTCTGCAACAAGAACAACAAGAAGTAGAAAATAGAGCAAATAGACGCACATTAGCACAATAGTAAAATAAAGCGTTGGTTGGTGGAGAAGCATTAGGCGCGTACCGTCACCAGCTGATAAATGATGACACACACTTGCAGCGATGTCATCAGAAATTGTCCGAAAATTATTGGCTTGAATACMCGCTGCACGCTCTGCACGAGCCCCAACAAACGCACGTGGTACTGCACGTAGTTTCCAAGCTCCCGCTGTAGGAGCGCTTCGGATTTGTTGAATGTATTTGTCTCGATGAAATACTGCAAAGCTTGAAAATGACCACGCAGATTTGTGGTGAACGAAACAAAGAGACCATCCACAGATGTTGCATGCATCACCACTACTATGGTGATGAATATAGTATAGATATAGGCGATTTCATAGCCTGGTGTAGACTCGAAATCGAAGGGGAACCTGTGTGGGTGGTAAAAAGAAATTTTGATTGCAATAGCTTACTAATGACTTGGAAGTTATAAATTATGAAATAGAAAGTAAGTGTAGCAGTTATGAAAACACAATCATTTTGGTAGTCTTCGGAAAGAATGAGAAACCACGAATTGAAMKAATTGATGTTTTCTATGAAYACCTTASAGTATCCACAYCGAGTACTCGCCATACTTGATAACTGCAGTTCGGGGTCCTTATAGTTAATCAATCAGGGGATTAATTAAATCTGCTTAAAATACTTCGTTTAAAATTTCAAACGGTCGAACCCATTGTCAGGAACTAGTATTTTTGTAGTGACGGCAGAAATCATTCCTTAAATAATTTTGCGGATTYATTCCGATTGATAGTCCTTGGCCAAAGAAACATAAGACCGGATCACACCCAGTTACCTTGGTCCGAAAGCCATGGGAGTTGTTCTGTTTGTCCCACTGACTGTATAGGATGTTTGTTTTTTTTTTTTTGGGTTTTCTGTCATAAAAATAGACCAGTTTATATACCAGAAACCGAAACAAAATAATTAATAAAAGTGGTACCTTAAGAGTAWTGTGGGATTGGGATTGGAGTATATGTTTTTGTACTGTACTGAAATGGTCAATCCGCCCGAAAGAAGCGTAATTATATKCAACAAGACAGCYTTACAACCGGTGTAATGGGATATARTTRTGCTTCTGGGTAAGCAGTTACAGTTGTAGGGCTATACCCAATTCCTACTCTTGCATCATAAACACTAACCCTGGAAGCGTGAGTAACCCTGGTGTTAAATGCGGTAGCCAAGCCGGATGGAACCTGGATTCCGGGTAAAAAAGAGGAAGATTTAGCGGAACTACTTCGACGTGTTGGGTTTATGGATTCGCTGAAATTAAATTGTAGCGTCTGTCCATTAAAGGTGAGCAGACATCGGTCTTGAAACAAGCTGTACGCTATATAAACGAACGAAAACCAAACTCCTCATCATGCCAGTACTGCTATATGGTGCGGTCACATGGAAAGTGGCATCATCTGATGAGTCGGCCGAGTACCGCAGTCGAGGAATTTTAAATATCTTATCTTCTGTCGATCAAATAGTTAAAAAGGTCTGAAATTATAATTGCTATTCACTTCGAAGTCTTAAAGAGTTAATAGAAGAATGAGATATTCGTTTCAAAAAGTTAGTAAAATTTAAGGTAAGACCCATCGAAGTTGGCATCGAAAACATATTTTTATCGGGAAGTCCATTGCATTAAATCAAAAAACTTATTGGAGTATAAAAATGGGATTAGGAAAATATAAGATACACTTTTTGATTTCATTTGAATGAAATAAAAAAAAAATTTATAAATAAATTGAAATTTCATAATTTCCTTACCTCATCGGCATTGGTAACTCCAGCGGTATCGGCTTAGCTTGAAATTTCGCCCAAATCATGCTAACCAACGGGTTTATTGTGAAGTATAAGCCCGTGCTTGTGCACGCACCAAAGTACAGTTTAACAAATCTTTTTGCCCCCACATTGACCGTCACCAGACAGCGCTTGGCACCCGCTTCGTGTACTGTRYAAAATATAGCAACAATAAATAAGTGAAGAGCGWAAGTTATGCAACAGCAATTACACCCCGCTACTTACATTCGTCGTACATGCTTTCGAACTCGGCCATTAGGCTTTTGAATTCACGCTTGTAAGTCAAAAATGTTGAGGTCTTAATGACCGTCAGCACATTGGTGAAGACAATACTGAGGCAAGCCGTCGCCAATGCCAAATCGTCGATATGATAAATAATGTAATTCATCATTGGCAATTGTGCCGACACCATAAACAACAACAAWAGCACATACTTCAACGCCTGGCAATGGCGAAAGCACCGCCGCTGCCGCTGCCGCTTCGACTTCGATTTTTGCTCATCGTTCGACGACACTTCATTGTTATCGAAGATGTCTTGGTGGCCCATTACACGCAGACAATTCCGTTGTATCCTAAATAAATCCTCAGGCATTGTTTTGCGTTGAATCGACGTCTACTTACAGCCCGCTTGTGGTAAATATGGGAATCACCTACGACTACTTCAATTTCAGTCGAGGCGAGTGTCAACCGGCTCTCGAGTGCTTGCGAGTTCCAGTTAGAGCTCTTTGTGCTTGGTGATATTTCACTTTCGGCTTTCTGATTGTCTATTCTKYTGYGTTGAGAGTTTTATTGCTTCGCCGCGCGGTTGGGCAATTCCATTGTGCTTTGTGCGACGCAGTTATTTAAGGGTTTAAAGAGACACACAATTGACGTGTAATTAATTGTCACATTTGATGCGATAATTACTTGTTTTGTATGTCGCTGAAAGTTGCTGTAATCATTGTATTGAAATTGATAATTTTAGATTTCAATTATTTAACAGTTATGCTTAGAGTATTGGCTTGTCGGGAGGTCTATAGACTGGGTTCTAAATTTGTTTGTGATTACATGTTGACAGGTTAATTCCAGCGCACTATTGTTACATTTAATTACAGTCGGCGTAATTGCCATGAAAATCAAGCCGATAATGCAGATAATGACTCTCTTAAAAAGTTAATTGTTACCCATTGTCGCTAGAAAGGACTTGTTATTAATGATGGCTYGTCTCCAACATAAACAAATGTAAATGGAAATTAATGTCACTCATATATTAAATCTAAAAGGAGGAAGGATAAAAAAGAATTGCAACAATTATTTTTTAATAGGTGAAGATATGGCGAACATTTGCAGATGATGGAATGCTATTAAATTGAAATTTATTGTGGAAAGTTCAAAGCCAAGGAGACAAGGTGAAGGTAGCGGTGGAAAGCGCTTTTGAAATAGTTTTGAGGACTGTCGCTTACTAGACAGTCCTTTGGTGGTTAAAAATCTGTAACCCGTTCAATCACATAGACCCAACTGTCCTTAACCGACAGTCACAAGAAATGTACGAAAGTCGCAATATTCTTTTCACTTTTATTTTTAAATTGTATACCTAATGTGTTTTTTGATTTACCTGTAGAAATGAGATGCAATTATTTCGATATGTTTCAAATTACCAGTTACGGTCTCTTCGAACTTTATTGTCAAAATTTAAAAACATTTTTCCTCACTATCACCGTACATGAACTTCATGGTACATTTTTTGTAGGCCTCAGCTSCGAAAAGCTCTGGTCGCTACGACTATTTCCTTTCTCTGTCCTTATCAGTTTCGCAGCACTTTATATGAAAGTGATATTTGGATTGTAATGGAAAGCAAAGAGAAGGTCTCAGGGACAAAGATCTGGAGAAAGGGGTCACCCCTCATACAAGRTGCGTTYCAAAGTGAACAGGACTTAAAAAAAACCGTACAAATGGTATTTCGCCAAAATCAATTTATTTTATTCAAAATACTTTCCTTCTGCTTCAATACAGCTTTTTCCACGGTCCAAAAGCATGTCGACTGAGAGTTTTCGATCGTACTCGTTGACCGGTATGACCGACAGTATGCCAGTGCAAGCCCTTTGAGCCTTCTAAGCGTCGATCGAATGTTGAATTCTGAGCAATTTTTGGTCGTCAGTCAATTCGTGCGGAACAAACACCATGCCATGCAAACACCTTTCGTAAGCCCAAATGTTCGATCTAAATGCGATAAATGGATGTTTTGGAGATGTTCAATTCCAATTTCAATCATGATTTCGGCTGACTTTTAATGAATTCTCGCACAGTTTCGATGGAATTTCCGGTAATCACGAATTAGCCCACATGTTGAGCGTCATTTACGTCCTCACGACCACTTTGGAAAGGAAACCACTCGTGCAATCTGCTACGAGATAGGCAATCATCGCCATAAACTTGTTTCGTCAATTGAAACGTTTCGGTAAAACTTTTACCAATTTTGAAACAAAATTTAATGTTGGCTCTTTGTTCGAAGCTCATCGCACCGATAACACAAACATGCTGACACTTGGACAATCGTTAAAGATAGCAAATTCTAACGCACCAGTCGACATGTCGATGGTGCCACCTAGGCGCACTGCATTCAAAAAGTAATGTATACTTTGGAACGCCTCTTGTATATTTATGACTTACTATACTTTCAACTCTTCATTATCATTCTCTAGTACAATATGTTGCTTTAAAAGRGGCCACAAATTCGCCGATTCTCTCTTTATTTCTCTCCAGTGAACACTTTCTTGAAGTTTGGAAATCAATATAAATCATATGAGACCAGTTTAGGAGATCACTGTGAATGCGAAAGCAATTTTTCTACCATTTTCATTACATGCTTTAACAGTATTCCTTTTTTCTTGAAATTATAACATTCATTGAATCAAATTTTGATATCAGGAGCATTTATTTTGATCACGATAAACTATTTAATTAATGTATCAAATCCTTTTTGAAATTTTTTTATAATAACATAATAAGCTGTCCAAAATGGTATATTTTAGGAACCTACTGTTTATCGTTTGAAGGTTAGGTYTAACTACTCTCCTAGAAACGAAACGAACTTTTCAACCTGATGGGTTAAGCTTCGTAATGGTTTTGCGAAAAAATTCGCTGGAAGTCCCCAGTAGCTGCCYTAATAAATTGATCCTTTACCCTGACATTTTGCACTGCATTGTGCGTACAATACACAATAAGTTATGTATATTTGAGAGCCAAAGTGAATGTTTCTTTAGGAATGGTTAATGTAGACTTCGCCTTGCGCCGCGCTACTTTCTCTAGAGGTGCTTGATGGTATCGGCATAATAAAACAAATTCTGTTGTTTCTTAATAGAAAAAGAGACAATTACTCAGTACTCATTTCGTAGTGATAAAATCAGCTGTCTGAGTATTGATAATTGATGCTCAGTCAGCTGAGTTGATGTTCAGATGCGAATTATTAAGTCAGTAAAGTTTTAAGACCAACTCTGTTCTTTTATTATTTTTTTTTTTAATAATTATACCATTGTAGAAAGCTCAGTAGAAATAAAACCCAAACCAAAAAAAAAAAAAAAAAACCTAATACTGCCCAACACACTTGTGTAGTTTACAGGAGAGCAAGAGCTGAGAGTTTGAGTTCACTAATAAAAGTTCGAGATTAKTCATCGCATTCTATTTATTTTTTGGACATCTTTTACACATGCATACATACACATAATATACCGTTAATCATTTCATATACATAAATAATGATCAGCTAATTCGCCAATTATGTGAAGTTCTCTTAACAATTATAACTGATTAAGAAAGTTAGCCAATAGCGCTTTGACCCATTGGCAAAACCAAATGCGAAAAATATAATTAACTTTTGGAAGTAATAATTTAATTGTGTTCATTTCACATATGTGCATATGGACACATGTAGCGTTAGGATATATGTAAGTGCATTATACATATATTACATACATATATGAATATTTGAATACATGTAAGTATATATATATTTGCTAGCCGCTGAGCTCAGCTGTTTGCTKAAGTCAACTTCATTACTTCAGTACTGCCGCAATGATTAATGGTATATTTTTGCGAAGCAATAGCACCCGCATTACAGCAGAAATTATGTTAGCAGTAATATTTACAGCTTTATGTATTTTCTTAAAGCGATTTTGGATTTGTTGCTTGGTGTGGTAGAGTACAGCGTGTGAGACTACACTCTGTGAATGATTTCATGTGCCTATAGGAAGAATTGGCACTTTGGCATTTCTTTTTTGAAGATTATCTCTTTCAAATGTTCGCTGCGGCTACRTAACAGATGGTCTATCCGCTGAGTMYAATTATCATAACTGGCGAATGATGTGATGTTTTGCTGACAGGGATGAATCGAAACGGGATTGTACGCAGATACTATAGAATTTACATATCCCCACAGGAAAAAGTCTAATGGTGTAATATCATACTATTTTGGCCTCGATTATACCGAAATATGTTCTCTAAATAAATCCATGCGATGTGTGGGAAGTGGCGCCGTCTTGATGAAATCAAATGTCGTCGAGATCACGAGCCCAAATATCAGGCATCAAAATAGTCGCAAGTGACGGTTACATACTCACCGGCATCATTTTTGAAGAAATATGGACYGATGATTCCACTGGCCCCCAAACCACACCAAAACGTTGATTTTCTGGYTGAAATGGCAGCTCTCTCTYACYTTGAAGTATCTCTTCGTCCCAAATGTGGCAATCTTGCTTGTGTACATACCCACTGAACGAGAAATGAGTCTCATCACTGAATACCATTGGGCTCRAAAACGTCGTATATTCATGAAACTTTCAAGAGCGCATGGGAAAGTCGAGCGGCGTCAATTTTTTTTTTTTTGTTTTTTTTTTAATCTTGTCTATAATCTGCAAAGTCGTTTCATATCTCAATCCGAGTTGCTGCGAACGGCGGCGAATCAACTCTACTACGGCTATTATATATTTTCTTCACTACATGCTGGACGTGGCCTATTCCGTCAAAATATATTATCCAATAATGAAAGCTGGGTTTGAAGATGAGTGATGGTGTTGCGAATCTCACACAATATCTATTCGACCTTATAGTTTATATTGTTAAGCAATGGCACTTCTGCTTTGCTTGCAAATGATCGGCTGCTTAACTTTCGTTTGATGATTATCGAAGCTATTTCATTGCGTCGTAATTACAACCTGACGAGCCATCTCTTACCTAAAAGTAAAAATTCATCTTAAAAGTCGCGTAAGGCTACTTAAAAGTGGAGATCTCCCAAACTTATTTAGCTAGTACATTTAACCGTTATGAGTTTGCGCCTGTTATAGGAAAGGTAAAATTTCAATTCCGATTTTCTCGAAACAGGTGTTTTTAAAGTTCCGAAAGTGGCTTCTCTCCACAACTTCGTTTTCCAATACTTACGTTTATAAACTGGGGGGATGCTTCATTAAAGTGAGTCATATTTTCAACTTCGAAATCACAACACAATCCGAAAAAACAACACACCAGAGCAAATATTGATGTATTAATATTTGAGCAAAGCATAAGCCCTGCTCAATATAAGCTGACCAAAGCGACAAAAAATTTGCTGCTCTGCAAAAT